AGTTTATATGCAAAATTTTATAAGAAAATTTTTTACTTAGAACCCAAAAGATAGTTTCATAATTAAAATTTCAAATTCAAAAACTCATAAGCCATTACTTTGTGGCCGACTATGAAGTAATTAAATTTATTGATGTATAATATTATGCTATTGAATACTAATGTTTCTCTATTCAATTTTAGAATCCAATCAGTCCGGAGATTTTGAAAGCTGTTGCAAGTCGAGTAACTGCGAATGATAGAAAAGATATTTTATTACTTGATACAACACCATTGGAAGATTCGGGTCCGTTTGAAGTTCCTCTTCCGCGTGAAGTTCATCCTCCTGACAACTATGTACCAGCATGGTATGATTTTTAGTTTTAATATTTTTCATAATTTCACGATTTTATTTTAGTTTTTAATTTTTAATTTTATTTTTTGACAGGCTGGATTTACCACACATTAGGCGTCTTGGAGCTTTGTCTAGTGATCCTAGCCGATAACTAAAAAAAATTGGTTAAGCCGATTTTTCGACCCATTCGGTCGATTTTTTTTTTTAAATCAGCTGGTCGATTTTTTTTTTTAAATTAGCTGGTCGATTTTATATTTAAAAGATTAAACTCACCACGCGATATACATTTTGTAGATGGGTACACAATCAACTTTAGTTGATTTCAGATATTAAAAAATCAAGTGGGGACGGAATTTTATGCAAACTACAAAAATATTTTTAAAGCAATTGTATTAGTAATTATGAAAATATATTTAAAGCGATCGTATTTTATTAATTATTTGTATTCCTTAAACATTCTCATCCTAAAATTTAACCTAAGAAAAATATCGTTTATTTCGAGACAATGTTTTAATAATAAATATTTTAGACGTAAAACCTTTATTTCAATATTTTATGATACAAGCTTAGGAACCTCAAAAGTTCATGAATTTTAGACGCTGATTCGAATGTAAATTATTGATAACGCAAATACGATATTTATGTTACTCGGACTAATTAAAATTATCAATATATGCAAGCAATACCATAATACAGGGATGGTAAATGACCTGAAATGACCCAAATGACTAGTGACCAGTTATTGGGTTATTTCACATTCAAATGACCTACAGAAGGTTATTTAACATTTGTTAACTAATAATCCAATCCATTTTAACCAATCAGAATTAATTATTAGACAAAAGGCAATTTTTATAATTACGATTGATAATAGTAGGTACATATAAAAGTCAAAATTTTATTAAATTAATCAATATTTGCATATTAAGTAAAGTTATTCAGGAGAACAAATTACATCTATCTTGAAGTTTTCATATAATTTTAATAACTTTTTATTAATACTGTGGACTTTCATAGTATTCAATTTATCAATTCAACTATTACACTCATCTTTGCAAAGATATCATTCAAATTTCTTGGTTATTAGTTTACATTAAACAATAATCAAAAAGTTCAAATTAATCTTATATCAAAAGAAACTTTTTCTCTAGCTAATATCTTAAATATCAAAAATATTATAGATAAGCAAGTTAGTTATATTATCAACAAAATTATTATTCTAACCTTGGAATATAGAATACAAAATATTGTTATTCTTATAACAATATGTCAAATTATCTTATCAAAATACCTTATAGTTGTTAAACACAAAGCAAGCCATTTCCACACGTGAAGTCAACACGGATCTGCTTACGTAAATAGAATAATAGCTAATGAGAAGTTATACTTGAGATTTATAGTATATGTGTTAGTACTATAAATAATTTTTATCTTTTATGCCTT